CTGCTCCGGTCGGTGGGTCCCGGCCGCTCAGCGCGCGCTGCTGCGGCGCCCGGGAAAGTTGCGAGGGGCGGCGGGGCCCGGGGGGGGAGGGCGCCCGCCTGACACGGGGCAGCGGAGCAATGGCGACGTGACACCGGGCGGGTGAGGAGCCCGTGCGTGTGTGTGTGTGTGCGCGGAAGCGGGGTGTGAGTGTGCACACGTATGTGTGTGTGGTTTGGGACTGCGTGCGTGTGCTTATTTCTGTGTGTTTTGGGAGAGTGTGTGTGTGTGTGTGCGTGTGTGCGTGGAGGCTGTGTGCAAAGTGTGAGCCCGCCCAGTGCGGAGGGGTGTGTTTAATGATCAACCCCGGACTTGTGGCTGGATCGCGAAGGCCGAGACGTTTCCTTTCCTGAGCTGCCTCTGACCGTGTGTGTCTCTCTCCTCTTCTAGTTTTTTTCCCCCGTGCAGCAGTGGCGGCGAGGAGGAGTCGTCGAGCTGGACCCCCTCGCCTGAGCTTGGAAGATGAAGGTAAGCGGAGCCAGCCCCGGAGCGTCGCCCTCGCCACCGGAGCTCGCTCGTTCGCTTGCTCTCCCTCTGTTTCCTCCTCTCCTCCCTGCCACCAGCACCTTTCGTGCCATTGCTCGTCCTGCTGCGTCCTCCTCCAGCGACAGCAGAATAACATCCGGCCCGGCCATGGACATCGGCACATGTTGATTCATGTGAAATCCCGTGCCTTCCATTTGACAGAGGTGCAGCCGATGCCATTGCGCTGCTTGAGAAAGATAGGATGCCTTTGAATGGTCGGCCTTTGGGCTGCTGCCTTTAAATGCTTCCTGTATTAGCAGCCGCTTTGGTGAGTGTGCAGAAACCACATGCCGCTTTTTTTGTCCTGCCTGAGCTGTTTCGGTTTTTGCAGGGCTGAGGCAAAACAATTGCTGGATCGTTCGCAAAGTGGGACAAACTTTTCTTGGCTGTGGAGATGAACAAACATGGAGTTAGAACTTGAAATTAATTCCTTGTACACACTGATTCCCTGTTTTACTGTATTTCAACTCTTTTTTTTTTCTTCTTTCTCAGTCATGGTAAAAAGCCAAGCAAAAGATTACTATGTTAAGTCATTCCCAGTACAGGCATGTAAGTTTAACAGTTTCTAAGCCTGCTTGCATTTTGAGAGGATAAAGATCTAAACAAAGACTTTTGAGGAAAAAGAAGAGCATTTAACATAATTGTTTGAAAGGTTGTAGCAACTTCGTGTATTTTTTTTCCTGTTTCTGGAAATCTGGGATAGAAAATACGATAGCACTCTGTTCGCTGCATTGAAATGACAAATTGAACTCTTTTTAAGTGGATGAATACTTTTAAGTAAATATAGACTATGTTTGTTAGTGTTTCATTGCTGAAATGACAACTGTACAATCTCCGTTCAACTTGAAATATCACTTTCCCACTGTATTCTTTGCATGGATGGGTTGAAATGATCTTTGGGTCTATATAGATAGATATTTTTCCTTTTTATTGTAAGCACATGCTACACTTTGAGGCTGTTGATTTGGGATTACTGAGACAGGAGTCATTGAAAAAATCATGGGTTAACATTAGTAGCGGAACAGAACTTCCTATAGCTTATCCATGAACTCAGTATTAAGTAAGCGGTTTAGCCACTCTCTTATTTTGAAATTTCCTGGCAAAGCTCATGTATTTATTTCACTTGCAAGTATTTTGGTATGATGTAAAAAGTGCTATAACACATCATCCTTGATTCATTCTTGTTCTTTTTTCTCAGTTAAGTTCCTTAAGTTGCTATTTTAAATTGTGTGCCTAGGTGTAAATGACAGAATAGGGACATAGGCAGTACTGATTTTTTTTCCCCTCCTTATTACGTTTTTCTTACAGAGTATATTTTGTTGAAGTTGCCTTTTTTGTTCCCTGCGTGTATGTGGTTTATAAAACACTTTTTGTGGCTGTTGTAGCAACATCAATTTGTTAATCTTTTTTTGGTGCATCTTGTTTAAAAATTATATTGAGACAGTGAAACTTTAAATCTGATTAAAACATTTCGAAATATCTTGGCTAAAATTGGGTCCGCCTGGAAAAAAACACTTAGTCTGATCCTGCTCCACTGTTTTTATGGAACAAAATCAAGGGGCATTGTTAGCAGGTGCATCAACAAATTGCTAAATTTTTAGCATACATCATTTTAAAGAAAGGTCAGACTTGCTGTAGCTACATAAATTGCTGTTTAGGACTTTATGAAGAAATGGTCAACAGGACCGAAACTTTGGATGCGTATTTGAATGTATGATGATGCTTGGTGCTAATGAATTTCTTTTTTTAACAAAATATGAATATGAGAGACTAACTGTTTTCATGTTTTCTTTTTTTGATAGGCAGCAGATGAGCCTGCCTACTTAACAGTTGGGACTGATGTCAGTGCCAAGTACCGTGGTGCCTTTTGTGAGGCAAAGATAAAGACGGTGAAAAGGCTAGTGAAAGTCAAGGTAGAATTCATTGTATTAGTGGTAATCTTTTTGTTTCTTATTCAAAAAGGTAATATTCACAGGAACATCAAGGAAAATCATGCCTCTTAAAATTTATGTATGAGTAAACAGATCTGTGGACATTTCTTATAAAGTTTTTTTTTCTGTCTCCCAAAAATCATTGGTGCAGTTAGTTCAGTGCATATGTGTGCTTTTTCTTTTGAAGGATGCTAAAGTACAATAGTCTCTAAAATAATTTTATCTGTTCTTGTTACTTATTTCTCATTTGAATTTATAATCTTCTTCTTATGTTTGTGACTACAGCTGTTCCACAGCAGTCAGTTTTGATGTCACAAACAGAAGATTATGACTTTAGGTGACTAATAAGAAATAGGAATGAACTCTTCAGGTGCAAAGATTCAGTTTTATGCACACCGCCTCAGTTTTATAGTTAGGAAGAAAAAGAAGAGAGAAGACAAACTTAAAAATAACTCTTTTTACCATTGACGTCAAGCTATCTGTCAATTGAAAAACATTTGTGGATTGCACTAAAGCAGTGAACTCTATCCATGTGTGCCATCAATCTGGTGTCTTTCCTAGGTTAAGATTGTGCTAATACTTAATACACATTAAATGATACAGGAAAAAACAGTAATCTGTTCTTGTAATCTGTTTTGGCATTTCTCCTGAATGACATTTTTTAATGCTAACAGTGAAAAATGAAGAATGAATATCCCAAAAAGTCATGTTAATGCAGGATGCGATGTAAATCCAGAAATTATCTGTGTCTTGTTTTTTCAAAAATGTTGACTTTTACTTCCTAGTCTATCATTCAGAATACATAAGTAAGGTATAGCAATAATAACTAAATTTTATGAAAGGTGTCTCTTTTTTGTTTAGTACATGTTTACATTTTGAAAACCTTAACACAACTCAGGGAGAACACTCTGTCAGTCCACACAGTATTTCCACTTCAGTATGAGCTCAGTTTGATCAGTTTAAAAAACAAGTAAAACCTAGAAATATTTCTGTCCCTGTCTCTCTGTCATCACCTGGTAGGTTTATGGGGTGGTTTTAACCTGTGCAAATGAGAACACTATTGTGGGAAAGAAGTGCATTTTCTTTTCTTGTGCTGACTCCTGTGAAGTCTGTTTCCCATGATTCTGTGTCTCTGACTGATAATTTAGAATGTTTTTCTGCCTTTGGATCCTGATCTGTAATCATTACAGGGTCCTGGGGTTTATGATATGGGTGTGACAAATTTGGACCTTTGAGATTGTCTCATTTACATTTAAAAAAATGAAAATTGTAATGAGTTAAGTCTGATCCTATACTTAGATGCCTGTGGGCATGCCCTTATGCCATAACAAGTCCCACTGCATTCAGTAGGACTTTTTATGAAACCAAAGATTTACCTATATGGACCTCAGTACAGGTTCAGAGCCTTTTAAAAAAAACCCTCATATGATCTGTTCTGTAGTTCTTGTGTCATTTTATTTCCTTATCTCTCCAGTTCTTGATGTACAGCTGATTTTTGCATTGGTTAGTAATGGTGTCGTAGAATTTCTGAGATGAGATCAGAAAGCTAGCACATTTGATAGATGGGAGCGAGTAGTTGAGGTTTTTAATCACTGAAGGGAAATGGACAGCATCTCAGTAGTAGGGGAACATATGTTAAATGGGTATGCTACAGAGCTGAGAATGTTAACGTCTAAACATTCATATTTGTTTCAAAATTAACAGTCTGGTGAAATGAATGGTCTGATTTATGCCTCTCAAAGCCACTGTTTGCAGTCTTTTTGCAAACTTAGGCAAACCTGACTGCATCAGTTGATTTTTTTCAGTTTATGTTGCCACAGTTCTCTCCATGGCCATGAGGCCTGAAAGCATAATTTTTAGAAAGAAAATGTAGGGCTTGTTCACTGGTGTTTAAAATGCTGGATTGTTTGTAATTCATACCTTTGCTGTGCAAGTGTGTTGGGCATTTTTAACAGAAAATAAATGTGTCCACCCATAGTCCTGTGCAAAGAAGCTAAATGGGTGAGTTGTAACAAACTTAAGTTTGTGTTAACAAGCAGACAGGTCTTCAGATTCACAACTCTGGAGCAATGACTGAATTCTGTGGGAGACTGTGTGAAATATAGAAAGACTCTTTCTAAAAGTACTAGAGTTCATATGAAGAAGCATAACCCTTAAATCTCTAGTCTTGCAACCCATTTACAGATCAAGCCAGGTTTGTACTGATGTCTAGTCTCATACATATATCAAAGTATATTCCTCTCCCATGGTATAATTGTGATATTTGATATAAGTGGGCTATCTTCATTACCACTAACTGATTTATCCAGTTTGATTATTGAACGTGTGGTACTTACCTGGGCTCTGTGTAAAGTCAAACATTGGTCTATTGTTTGTGTTCAGGAATCTTTAAGACTATTTACTGCACAAGGTCTTATTTTTCTAACTCTAAATATCACAGGGATTGCTAAGCATGGTTTTTGGTGCTATAAGATATTTATTTTTCAGGTAACTCTGAAACAGGACAGTTCAACTCAACTAGTGCAAGATGATCAAGTGAAAGGACCTTTAAGAGTACGTATGCATCTTTTTTTCCTCTCCCAAATGTATGATTAAAATATAAGATTCCAAGTTTTGATGTTTGTTTTTGAGTACCTGAACCAGATGTCATGGGGGCAGTGGAAGGGCACCTGTTAGCTTTGGATAAGGCTCAGAATGAGTAATCACCCTTGTGAACTAATTTCTTAGTTTTAAAGGATGTATTCATCTATGCCTGTGGCCTGGTTGGATGTGTATGGAAACGTTGCTGCAGGCAGGATGGTCTCTGTAAATGTTTCCAGTATAAACTGGCAAAGGGCAACTCAGAGAAACAATATGCAAGCTTATTAGATGGCAGTAAATAAGATCTGTGTGTGTGTGTTAATGCATAAAATGGTATGTACTGTAGCATTGCTTTGGAATATATATTCCAAAACAATTATATATTTTGTTCAGTTGGAAGTTGCTGGAGTAGAAGATAAGTGGAACAAAATATTGATGGTTTTGCATTAAACAGCTTGCTTTTGGGTTTTTTTCTGATGTCTTCCTTTTTTCTGTCCCTCCTTCATAGCTAAAGGTGCTAGAACCAGCTGCTGTCAAAATCTAGCCTAAGCTTCAAAACTTTTCTTTTCAACTGCCAGTGAAATAGGTCATGTTTACTATGGTTGTTTAAGAGTAAACAACAAAGTTGTTTTATTTTTATGTTATTGACTGTGAAGCTCTGCTAATACTGCGTAAAGTATTATATTAGTGGCTTCGATTTAATCTGCATATCTTGAATTAGCCTGATTTTATTCATAGTTTCATAGTTGGTAGGGTCATAAGGGACCTGAGCACATCATCGAGTCTGACCCTCTGCCATGGCAGGAAAGAGTATTGGGGTCAAACGACCCCAGCAAGGTGATTGTCTAACTATTGATTTTTGTTATGTTATAAAGTCAGTCAGTCATTGTAATATGCTAGGTCACTTTCTTTCCCCTCGATGTTTAAACAAAACCATGTGATTTGATTAAAAACTTTTCATTTTAGAGGTTATTTAACCAATATGTGCATTTCACAAGGTAGTATAACTGAGTTCCTCCAGAAAAATTGCTGAAAAATTAGTTTGTGCATGTTTTTCATCTTTCATTTATGAATTGTCTAATACAATCTTGAGGTATTTATTTTGCAGGTTGGTGCAACAGTTGAAACCAAGATGCCTGATGGATCTTTCCATGAAGCTACTATCAGCAAATTGACAGATGCCAGCTGGTATACAGTAGGTAAGTAATTGAGTGCGTCTTAAGTTAATTATTTACAAAACTGATTTAAATTAATAGAAAAACATATCATAACAGCCATAATTTGGTTGCCGGGATTAAGATGTAAGTTCAGGTCCTGGGGTTGTGGGACTTACAGGAAGAACTTCGCCAAGACCTTTTTTCCCATGCAAAGTGGTTGTATCATTTCCGGACTTTAGAATGGTGTTTTAATGATAAATTGTCAGGTGCTCAAGTGCTGTACTTATGAGCACTTATTCCAATAGCTTGCCTGTTGATGCAAGCTTTAGTTCACAGACTATATGCCTATTTAACATAGGAGTTTCATTTCCTGGAAGACACAATAGTTGAAATGTTATTTTAAAAAGACTAACTTTAAAACTTGCAGTTGTACTTTACTTAAGTTGAGTGTGTGTCTTTTCTTTTCTTTTTAGTGAATATGTGAATATTTAAATAATTGCTCTTGTCCTTGATTAGGGTTTGGCAACATTTTGAATTGGGACACTGCTTTAAGAGAGCTCATATCTGAGCATGGACCACTTTCCTCTGCAGTGTTGCTGCCACTGCTCCTCCTTGCTGCCATTTCTCCCCGCTGTCTACGAAGTCTCCCACCACAGAAACACTGTAGAAGCCCCCTGACCCCATGAGTCGTCTGGCTCTGCTGGCTGGATCTGGCCCATGGGCCGTAGGTTGCTGTCCCTGCCCTAGACTGTTATCTTCTGCAGGGCATGGTGATAAAAACATTTCTATGATTTCAGTCTTTTTGAGGGAGTACTGATGAATTTAAAGTATACAGTACAGGAGTTCAGTATAGCAGACAAGTGTATTCTTTTCCTTTGGAACAGGAAGAAACAATGTTTTAGAAGCTCAGTTGGTTTATGAAGTACAGGGAAGTTTGTGTGTTGATCTCAATGGGAGCAGAAGTGAATCCTAAGATAGTTTAGAGCCTTATCGCCTTGTGATTGTGAGCCTATGGATGTGATCCTCTTCTTTTAAATTGTCCAGCTACCTTTGCTATTTGATTTCTGCTTGAAAAATGTTGCATAATTGAATATAGTATAATTTTGGGTGCTTAGCTGAACTTGAAGACCAGGAGAATTGGACCCAGGAGAATTTAGGTTTCATCTCACCCTGGCACTCTTTCCTGCCTAGGCAGGGGGTTGGACTTGATGATCTGTTGAGGTCCCTTCCGACCCTAGCATCTATGAATCTATGAAACTAGGTGCGTCTCACTGATAAAAGTGAAAAAAGTTTGAATTAATGTAAGGAGCTGTTGGCTGTCAAATTTTGTAGGTGAGCGTCAATGGTTGGCTGAACATGGAGGTGAAAAATTTACACTTGATCTACAGATAGTTTGAAAGAGGGAACACTCACGAATCATGTACTGAGCATGCACAATATGATTCTGTTCCTTTTATGCAGGTACAAAAATGCTGTGCTTCAGATGGATTTGTTTTAATGTATGCAAGTGGGTTTATGTATGGCTTTCTGCTACTTTAAAGAAACAACTAGAAGGAGAGATTCTAGCAATAGAATACAGGAAATAAGCTACAGTATGAACTCTTATTTAGATTCTCCTGCAATGAAATTTTAGCTCCTCTTTAAACTTTTACTTTGTTACTTCATAATAGGTCTGTAAAGTCGTTAGTGTTTTGGCATAAATTGGAACTCTGCTCCTTTTAGTCTTTGGTAACAGTAGATCAGAATACAGTAATATAAACCCTACAGGAAATATGTTAAGCCCTGTCTAGGTTCAATTAAACAAATAACAAGTAGACCCTTAATGCACATTTGTGAGTAAGCAATATATGACTGTCTTTTTCAGCATACAAGCCAAAAGTAATGATCTGAGTATACATTGTCAAATGTTGAATTGTTAGTACGTTAGAGTAACTTTTAAAGTTAGGGAAATTGTGGTGGCCCAAGGAAATCCGAAATGGAACCTTTTGTTCTTAGGTCTTTATTTCTAACATAACTCAAGTTGATTGTGACCAAAAGATACTGTCTAACAACTGCAGTAAATTCTATGAACTAAGTTGTGCTTATTTTTCTAGTGGTTTGTTATATGCTATACTACTTAGTATCTTTGGTTGTTTCAGAAGTGCAGCCAAGCAGTTAATGGATATGGGGACTAAACAGCCTTTCCAGAACATGGTCAGGTTTCAGTGGAAGGGCATTTAGACATTAGGGCTGGAAGGGACCTCTGCAGATCA